GTTTGATGCACCGGTAGGCACCGCACAAGACTCTCACCGGATGCCACGGAAATTGCGCGAGCCCCACGCTGCTTTCACGCATCCTGCACGTGGACGTGCCTAGTGTCGCGCGACGCCAGTCGATTGCAGCCGCGTATGAGGCCCTTGTGCAGGATCCGGCTCAAAAGGAAAAGCTCCTGGCGGCGGTGGCAGCCGGAAACAGGGAGGAAATGCTTGCACTGCAAAAGGCTCGGCTGCATGAGGAGTCGTTGTTAAAGGGAAAGACAAAAACCGGGGGACAGAAGCGCAGTCGCAGTGACTCCAGCAGCAGCAGTAGCGGCAGCAGCAGCGGCGGAGGTAGTGTTACCACCTCGAGCAGCACGTCGTCGAATGGTAGTTCGGTTCGTGTGGTTTCCCGTCGTTTTCGTCATTGATGTTCTTGTGTTGGAGGTTGTGCCGTCCTCTTTTTTTGTTTTTTGTTTTTTCTTTTGAGGCAAAAGAGGCGAGAAATACTGAAAACAAAGCATGAAAAAAAGGGCGGGAAATGAAACGAGCTGGAGATCTAGCGGGATGGAGTGAAAAAGAGAGAGAACCATGGCGGAAGGTGTGTGTGTGTGTACGAGTGCGGGCCCAAGGCGAAACTCGCCCTGCGCGTCTTGTCACTCACGAGTAAGGGTGACGATAATGACGACGATGGAGCTGCCGCTACTATCGCTACTGATGTTGTTGTTGTTGATGTTAATGCCGACTGAAACATAAAAAGAAAATGGGGCGGTAGAAAGAAGAATAAGATGCTTGCGAGGAGAAAGCCTGTTTTTTTGTGTTTGCTCTTCCCTGCTTGCCCTCTTTGGCTGTCTCTCTTCTTCCCGCCACCTCCTTTCTCTCTCTTTCTCTTGACGGGGGTGCGCATTCGTAAACAACATACGTGTGCGCGTGCGTGTGGGCATGTGTGTCGGTGCCGCTTGCCCCCCCCCCCCCCCCCTGCAAGTGTTGTTTGCTTCATTGTCGCTTGTGGCTTGACTCCGGTGGTCTGGCCGCATCTGCGCCTCTTTCTTTTTTTTTATGTGTTGGTTACGTAGCGATCACTTGCTGATAGTTAAAAAAAAAAAACTAACAAAATGAGTAGTTCCGCTCGGCAGATGACGCCTCCGAGCACGAGCCCCCAACAACCACGGGGCTCCAACAAGAACAACTCTGTGGTGGAGCTGACGGAGGATCAGCAGCAGGAGATAAAGGAGGCCTTTGACCTCTTTGACACGGACGGCAGCGGAACCATCGATGCGAAGGAGCTGAAGGTCGCCATGCGGGCGCTTGGCTTTGAACCCCGCAAGGATGAAGTGCGCCACCTGCTAATGTCTATCGCCGATGAGCGCGGGGGATTGGGGGCTGACGCTGCCGCTGCCGGTGCGGAGCCGCTGGCGGTTGGCTTTGCGGACTTCATGGAGCTCATGGCGCGCAAAATGACGGAGCGCGACTCGCGCGAGGAGATGCTGAAGGCATTTCACCTCTTTGACAGCGACAAGACGGGGAAGATCTCGTTTAAGAACCTGAAGCGCGTGGCGCAGGAGCTCGGCGAGAACATGACGGACGCGGAGCTGCAGGAGATGATAGACGAGGCCGACCGCGATGGTGACGGGGAGGTGAGCGAGGACGAATTTCTCCGCGTGATGAAGAAGACATCGCTTTACTAACAGAACAGGAAAAGTAAAAGGAAAAGAGAAAGAAAGCGCGAGGGAGGCGACACGGGCTGAGTTTAGACCCAATAAAGCAAGTAGGAAAAAAACATAACTAGTCCTGTCCAGACGAGTGCAGATACAATATGTGAAGATAGTGAAAAATGACGTTGCGAGGGGAGTGCGTATTTGTGTGAGTGCGTAGCCGTGGGACAACATGTGTCTTCTCTATCATGTACAAGCACTCATGCATGCACACCGGCATATCTGCCCAAAGTGGATATATATATATATAAATTATTCAAAACTTTTTCGTGTGGTGTTGCGCTCTGTTACTGGTTTTACCCTTTTTTTTTATCTTGTTTGCCATGCCTTGACTGTCTCCTTCCCTCTCTCTCTTGTTAGGAGTGCCTCGCGCCTTTCGGTGTGTGCCGTGCGAGGACAAAGGACGCACACGCATAAAAACAAAAAAAAAGAGGCGGCCCAGGAGGTGGCAGGGTGCGTGGGGAATACATGCGGAACGGGTCCCAGCAGTGGGACCCGGGCGTTGCGTTGGGTCTGCAGAGAGGCGACTGGTGTCATGCCTTCCCGGCCTTCTCTCGGATGCTGTGCGGTGATGATGTGTCCGCTAGGCCGACGACGGCGGTGGCGCCAGCGGCAGCGGCGATAACACCGACGGTGGCCTCTTTGTTGATGCCGTCCATGGTGTGCTCCTCCAGTTCCTGTGACACCGTTAACGCGTCGATGGTGGCAAGCAGTAGGGAGGATGGTGGTGGTGGTGGAATGGACGTTGCCGGGAAGGACGCCGGAGCCGTCTTCCAAGAGAAGATACGATTGCTGAGGAAATCCATGCAGGAGCAGCGGGCTGCCCGTGAGCAGCAGCGGCGGGAGTGGGATAGACACGAGCAGTTAGAAACGACGCAGCCTTCGGCGTGGGCGTGTGGCGTGCCGCTGAAAGGCGACGGCAGCGTTGTTGGGCCGGGCTGTCAAGCCCGTAGGAACGAGATGAGAGATGCGGCTGCTCAGACGCAACCAGCACCACCCCTTTTTGCTCTGCCAAATTCTTCTGCGGAGACAGGGCGCACTGCAATGTCTGAGGGAGACGATGAGGTTGCCATGAGCAGAACAACGCCGTCGCGGGGAAATGAGCGTCTAGATGCGGGTAAGGACGAGACCGATGCGATGGATTTGTCGACGTCACCGGTTGTCGTTGTCGTGGTGGACGAGTCGCCACACGCGGTGGAGCACCGCGACAGCGCCGTCACGACAGCGAAGGGTGCCGCTTTCTCATCTCCCGTGGATGCCCAAAGTCGTGCCGTGGCTGTTCCTCACGGGGATGATGGAGACGGGAGCGAGGCCGGGCGTGATGATGCTGTACACGGCACGAGAGCGGAGAAGAAACGAACAATTGGACGAATTCTTCAAGGTGTTGGTGCCACGATTCAAGCAGTCGAAGTATCACAGTCTTCGACGCCCCGCTCGACAAAACACCGCCAGCACCACACGCTTGTATCACCGCTTGTAACAGCAGACGTTGCAATGGGAAAAAAGTTCTCTGCATCGCACGGTGTTGATGGGCCGGTGGGAGGGGCGAGGAGGCGCCAGGCGATAAGGAAGCAGGTTACTGCGATTCACACCCTTCGTGCTCCCTCGGAGAGCAGCACGAGTCGGCTGAGCATCCAACGTTGCACACATGAAACAAGTTTGCAGTCGTTATCCCCGCCTTCCGATACTGAAACGAAGCAGCTGTCGGGAAACAGCGACGAGGGCGAGGAGGAGTGGGCGCCACGGAGGTCCACGCGGAGAAGTGCCGCTCTCGAAGACGAGCTTGAAAGACTGACAGAAGCGGGGACAGGCGGGACTCATGCCCTTTTTCGTGGTACTCCCTCTGTGAGTTCTGAAAACACAAATACGCGACCGGTGCGAGTGAATCGTGGAAGGAGCGTAACGCGAGGCGCAGCTGCAGCAGAAGCGGCGTTGCTTACAGGCAGCCGGATGAATGACTGCACGGGTGCTTTTACGGCATTGCGGAGTTGCTCTCCCAACCTCATGCGGACGTTGGTGAAGGAGGATGTGGAGCGTGTGACATCCACATCAGCGCATTCCCGTTCATCTTGCGGTGTAGGTGAGATAAGTCAGCGCCGCACGACCGGCGAAGGCAGTGCAGCGGCACGTCAACGTCGGTGTCTGCTTCGTCAGATCCGCCTAATTGATGCCGAGATTCACCGGATGGAGCAACTGCCATGGTTTAAGTCGCTGCGCACAGCTTCTGCCTCAGCGAACACGCTTAGGAGGGAGAAGTCCAGACTGCTGGCGCTGCGAACGCGGTACAAATGGGAGTTGGAGCGGGTGGCAGAACGGGGGGAAGTGCGACAAACCGGGCCACCACCGCCACCGCCACTACCAGCAAAGCCATATTCATTACTTCCATCGTCCAGGCGGCGTTCACAGGAGGAGTCTCCTGCGTTGCCTCGTCATGGACCATCCGTTTATGAATCCGTCTTGCAACAGCAAGGGCGGCAACGACAGCAACACGCGAGGAACCTGCTTCACACAAGTCAAATGACTGTGAAACAGATGACATTGCGGCCCACTGCAGGTGGACCTAGTGCAGGCCGCAGAAATACATCGATTAAGGGCAATGACCTTCCACCAACGGCGGGTGCTTCAGTGAATGCCAGGCCGCATGCGAATTGCGGCCTCTCAGGGGAGCATCTCAGTCTTCCCCGGGGGTCCATCACTACGAGGAATAGCGATAAGTTCCATGTGGTGAATAACCACCGCACAAATAATAGAGTTGGGTGCCGTAGGTCTCTTTCTATTGATGCAGAGAGAATGGCGGCTCTGTATGCTCGCAGTGCATCATCGTCGCAGTCAACGTGGCGCGATGGAACACCAACACGGGAACCGATGGGAAGCGTGTCACGGCGTAGCAATTCCTACGTGGCGAGTAGTGGCGCTAGCGTTCATGAGAAGAACAAGGAGGTCCCATTGTACTGGAGGCTGACACAAGTTAGACGAGATTTGGATGCCCACAACAGCAGCAACGTACGCGATATGAGCGGGTTTCGATCAAGTTGTGGGTCCGCTTCGCCGTCACCCGTTCGTATAATGAGGCCGCTTCAGGTGCATAGTCGCGGCCGCGACTTCTGGCGAGTGGGATGAGGCGGATCTTTGCGCCGACGTTGCCGCGGAGCAGTACTACTGCGCGGAGTATGGCGAGGAGGACGCCGTAGAGGAGCCAAGGGGCATGACATACAAAACTGGAGTGGCGAAAGGCCGTGGGAATCCACGACAGCACCCTTCAGCGAAGTTCATTACGCAGGGTTCACAGGGGCAACTCTTGGGACGGTCACGTACCCGTTTTGCCGCACGGTTGGAGAGGAAGCCGGCTGGTCTACGGTCTCCTGGACGAAGAGCCACCCACAACCGCTCCGACTTGTGCTACCGCCTTCGTACCCCAACGCCGCACGAAGTTTCCACTGATAATAAATCAAAACGTCTATATTTTTGTCAGGATTCCACTGTCCACACTAATGGATCTGGATTTGTCAATGCGGTGCCGCAGCGCGTGAAAACAGCGTCAGAGGTCAAGGTTGGCTCAAAGCGAGAGGAAAAACACGGACGAGTCGTTGGAAACGTTGGTCCGCAGACGCAACGTGAGGGAAATCCTGTGTTGCATGGGCCATCGTTGGAGGGGCGACTGAGCCAGTCGCAGGACCATTGGCGCAGTTGCCCTGCAGGTATTCACATTCACACTGACGCGGTTAGCCACGTGGGTGCATCAAGGGTGCCACCCCCGCCACCAGAAGCATTATTATCACCAATCTTACCTGTAGCGGCCCGGTCCTCTCGCTCGCGTTCACGTCAAGAAGTGGAGAAGGATGAGGATTCACCGTGTGCTGTGCGGCACTATAACTCGAATGGTGCGATGAACCTGAGAGGGGGACAATCGCACCGAAGGCGACAGCAGCTTCAGACGACGGAGCGGAAGACCCCTCCGCGGGATCATCAACGCCAGCAGCAGGAACAACAACAAATAGAGAGTGCTTCAAGACTGTCCGAGATTCATGTATCCCCGTTAACAGAGTGCAGCCCCGTTTCTGCTGTTGCCAGTGGTGGTGGTGGCGGAGGTGAGAGATCCCCTATTGCGACTTTGCTGTACAGAGCCACGCCATATTCCGCAGGGTCGTCCGACTGTGTGGAGCGAGAGCCTAGTCTGCGGGAGGTGATGACGGAGCATCAGCGTCGTACCTCTTTAAACCGGGGCGCATCACTGCCTTCCCAGCAGGAGAGGTCCATCCTCCATGCGGGTTTCAGCGGGAATGCATTAGCTGTGACGTCACCACAATCCGCTTTTTTCTCTAAGTCACACCGTCTTTTTGGTGATGATCGGACGAATACATCATGCTCCTCATCGGGCGCCGCATCACTGCACACCACACGAAGGGCCGGCGCCGGTGGTATCATGCTGCATCAGCTTTTTGGGCATGAACAACGCCCCATTTTTTCTTCACCGGCGAATATAATGAGTGATGGGGATGAGGCGAGGAGCTCGACCGACGTTCTACTGAGTCGCATTAAGGAAATGCGGGCTCAGATGAAGTGAATGCCGGAAGGCTGCCTGTAGGCAGCGTGTCACTTAGAGTAGATACATGCATACATATAAGACGCCTGCATCGGCTGTGCGAGTCTACACAAGAGGGCCACTGCAGGGCCTGTGTTGAAGTATAATTTCACTGCTTGCTGTAGACATTCTTATTTGCTTTTAGGCACCTTCTATCACTGCGGGGGCACATGCATTTTACCGCTGCTTTAGATGCAACATATATAAGAGCAGAAACACGCTCAACTGTGAGATGAAGAAAACTTTTTTTTTTTGTTTTTGAAGGAAAAAAAATGAGTCTTCTTTTTATTTTATTTCAGCTGGTTGTGTTATTTTCCTGGAAGTGTTTTTTTTTGTTTTTGATGACATGAACCTCTGCTGTGCCGCAAGACGCTCCTCTGACTGGATGTATTGCTTCTTTCCCACCGTGCCGGTACGCGTTTTTCCTTTTTTAAAAATAATAATATTTTTTTTTTTGTTATTAGAAGCATTACCATACGTACTCCCAGTAGGCGGGAAGTTGTTGATGTATGTGGCATCGGAGAAAGTTGCGTGGTTTGATCCCGCCCTGCTGCGATTGGGACAGGTGACATCGTCCATCGATGGCTCCGTGGAGGTGCGGGAGGTTGTCAGAGCGGTGATGCGCCGACGCTTTGAGGAGGAGACGCTAACCGATTGTGCGCTTAACAGCGGCAGTGTACACGCCGCCGTGAGGGAGTTTTACAATATCACAGAGAAGCAGCGCGGGGCGGCGGCGGCCATTGGGTGCCGCGTAGAACGCCCGGCGTGCCCCATTGACCACAGCGTGGAACCACTTGCACACGTTGTCGTGGCTGGCGGCACGTACGCCGCGGTAACAGAGCCAGTGCCACAACGTTTATACTTTTTTGACCAGCATAACGACATTGCCATCAGTTGCCTGAAGCTCGCATGTGGCGGAAGGATGTCGGAGGAAATATCGACTGCCGACAATTTTTTTATTGACGAACGCGATGTCGTTGCAGCGCTTTTTCTTGAACCACGGGGAAACTTTTGCGTGGTACGGTGGCGATCAGGGAGGGCAGCCTACTACCACATTCCCCGCCGAAGCTCTGGGCATTCGCATGATTATTACCATTGTCATAGTCTTCAGTCAGAGGGATGGCCAGCAGAGGTCATGAAGAGTGGCGAGGAGGAGGAACGGCTGGAAAGTGACATGATGCCGCGGCGATTTCCGCTGCAGTTTCGTGCAAATGTTACAGGCATGACGCGGCCGTTTTACGTGGAGTGCATTGCGTGGGACATGAACAACACAAGTGACGCAACAACAGGTGACATTATTCTTGGCTCCAGTAGTGGTGGCATTCTTCTTGCATGTCGGCTGGAGACGCATGGTATCGTTGCGGCGCGTAAGTTGTACCAATTCCCACAGCCGTACAGCAGTTACCCCATTGATAGCGTGGCGTACATGACGGATTTACAGTCACCTGAGCATCCACATCGTCATGTCGTGTTGATTGCTCAAAATACTCGTCTGTTTGTTTTTTCTTCACTGTGGGGGCAGGGCAGCTCACTTGAGGCGGCGTTTGATACAAGTCTACTAGACTGCAAGAACGTTGTGTCGCACTTCACCACGGCGTTTCCGTGTGCGGCGTCATTGCCGTTAAGTGGTGGAGTGAGTAGTAGTAGTGGTAGTGGTGGTGGTGGTGGTGGTCTGATGAACTACATCAGCGTCAGCAACGGGGCGACCACTACTACTGCGACTGCCACCATCCCTTTCTCGGTTTTCTCTTCTTCTGCTTCAGTTGGATGCCGGCACAGGGCACTCTCGAGCACCGTCGCTCCCGCGGACGCATCCGTCTTGCATGCGACTCCAGAGGCTTTGAGGCCGCGGCTTCTCTCATGTGTGGTTATTTTGGACAGTCGAGAGTTGCTACCCACTTTGCCATCCGCATTGCGTGTGACACCAGCTGGCGGACGAGGGGGTGCGAGTAGGCGTGGTGAGACTGAGGCGAATGCTCTACCCACGGTTGCCACGGACAAACTTCCACCGGTTTTTTTTTGGCAGTACGGTGACACGCTAACACATGGCGTTATCCTTTTGACAGATTTGGCGAGGATGGCAGGGGTGGAGGCGTCTCAGGCAACCACACATACTTCCACTTCGCTGCACAAACACGAGGGGTGTTGCTCTCCAGCAGTGCGTTCACCTGGCCTCACGTCATCGTTCAACACTCGCTTGCCGTTGAACGTGTGGCAAAGTCTATTGCCCGTTGGCATCCTTAGTGTTGTGAGCCTGGCGCGGCTTATGCAGGACCTCTCCGCGTTGCTACAGTCACAGCAGGGCGGTACACAGCGACCACCCATGTTTCGTCGTATGCCTGTGGGAGCAGACAAAAATGCGACAGATGCATGCACACCACCACGACCGCTTGGCTTGGGCGACGTTGAACGACTCTTGATGCTCCGTCACGGTGGGCGTCATGGAGTTGGGGGACGCTTTACGTTGCCCAGTCTTACAACACCTCCCTTGAAGAGAAACCCAGGTTTTGCCTCAAAGGGCGAGGAACTCCGACCTAGTGAGGGGGAACTTCAGACTGCTGAGAAACTCGTTTCTGTTGCGATGGGGTATGGCCATGTCGTGCTCACCACAACACGCGCCGTGTACGTCTTTTGTCACCTCGCGGCATTGCCGTTGCCGCAGGAGGCGTTTCAATGGAAGAGTGCGCTTGTATTTACCCAAGAGCTTGTGGCTCCAGCGATGAGAAACACGGCTACAGGAACCCGAGGGGATGGCGTTGTGACGGTCTTCTGTTCGCATGACGCGGGCTGCTCGCAGGTATTTCACTTGTGTGCCGCGTCGTATATTTTCGATCTGAGACTTTGCCGTCGTCGTTGCCGTGCGCAGTACGTGGCTCAGCTGGTGGATGCCGTCAATCATGTCGGCACCGGCACTGTCCAGAGGGGCTCCGCTGATAAGGACGAGCTGGAGAGCACACACGGATGCGAGGCACGAACGACGGGGCTGGACCGTCAGCAAATGACGTTACCGCAACTGCATTCCTGGCGAAACCGATTCTTGTCCCAGCCGAGAACTGCCCTCTCTACGACGTCAGGCGTGAGCCCTCCGTCAACTCCCATGTCAGCTATTTATTTCGGCAGCGGCGGCGGCGGATTGCGTTTACCGTTGCTTTCTACGTTGTCTCAACAGCCCTCGGGCTACAGCAACGACGAGCTTCGCTTTGAGGAGTGGATTTGGACACACAGCGACAGGGCAGTGAATATTCCGCACATTGGGGCACTGGGTGGACACGTGACAACGGGACTCCGCACGATGGAGCATTACGACACGGACTGTTTGTACGGTATGGCACTGCGCCTTGCTGTTTCCGCCCCTTCGGAGGAAGAAAGGCGCGAATTGCTGCCACGGATTCGTCACGCATACGCCACACGGTTGTTTCGCCAAGGTCGTTTTCTTGAGGCGGCGGCGCAGCACGGGTTGGCGATGGAGGGGCCGCCTTATTTGAATACCCTGCTGCTGGAGTTTTCAGGCGTGGCGGTAGATGATATGGAACCGCTCATCCTTGTGCTACTCCTGCGGCTGCGCGGGTACGCGCGGCGGAAATCGGGCCTTACGGCCTACAGTGTGGAGGTGGGTTGCCTCGCAACGTGGCTTGTCTCCCTTCTCCTCGAGCGCTGCAATCAAATTGGGAAGGAGCAACATGGTGACAGGGACGTTTCTGTCTTGTCTGCGTCGGTTGCCATGACTGAGGCCAACGCACCAGTGGCTGTGGGTGCGGCGGAGGCAGTTGGAGTGCACCGACGCTCCCTCGCGATGACGGCATATCTTCGCCGCAAGTACGATTTGATTAATCCCCGGCAGCTGCTGGAGGACATTTTCACACAGTACGGTGCCCTTGTAAGTTGGCAAGCAATTTGCACATCTATCTTTGGCATAGCGAGCGGCGAGCTGGCGATTTCAATTTGCAGTCGATTAGGTCATCACGGGGAGGTGTTGTCGCGCCTTTTCCTGCAGCAAGAACAGCCATTGGAGGGACTTGTACACCTTGAGCGGCATATGCTTGGAGGCCATGGTTCTGCCACTGTGGCAACAACAACGTTCCCACAGGGGGATTCATGCATTTCGCTACAGGAATCATTAAAAGCGTATTGGTTGCAGTATGCATCACTACTCATGCGTTGGTGCCCATGCCGTTTTGTGCGTCGCGGACTTATTCCGTTTGGCTCAGAGTTGGGGTTAACGCCCATGCAGATCATTCCAGCGTTGCTACTGTATGATCCAAGACGTAATGAGACTGTGTTTGAAGCAGAAGGGGCTGCAGAGGCGGTGCTGCAGCGACATGTTATTGAGGACTCTTTATTAGCTGAAGAACGAGCCCGTGCGAGCTGCCACGCCGCCCAACTGTACCTGGAGCATGTGATTTACACAGAGGGTTACACAAACGAATGTCTTTTAAATTTGTTATTGTACTTTACGGCAAGAGACGGGGACGATGGCGCATTGACCCGTTTTTTTACCGAGTTGCGTGCGAACGCCACGGCGCATCGACTAGAGATATCATATGCCTATCGTGTGTGTCGTCAGTTTCGGAGGCAGGTGGGGTGTGCCTGGACCTGCTTCATTGCTGGGCGCTACGCGGAGGCGGTAAGGCTGGCAATGAAACTGCGAACGGAGGCGCTTGCCATACATTTTATTCGTAGTATCAAAGGTGACGAGGAGAAGGAGCTTCGTCACACACTGTGGAAGCGGCTTGCCACCACGGCAGCTAGAAACAGAAGTGGGGGTTCCATACGTGCCCTGCAGCTTATCGCCGAAAGTGAGGGGGACCTGGACGCCAGTGATGTGTTGCCGCATCTTTCCGGCGACGTGATGATGCAGGATTTTCGTGAGGAACTTCTCACAAGTGTCTCAATGTTTAGTAACACTCTGCGAGACATCAAGCAGATAATTGAGGTATCATTGAATGATGTAGCGGCTCTAAAACGAGAAACAGAGGCGATTGGGCAACGTCCCTTGACAGTACCGTCATCGCAGCGCTGTGCGGGATGTGGAAAGACCGCATTAACACGCGTATTTGTGGCATTTAAGAAATGTCGACATGTGTACCATAAAACGTGTTTTGACGCCGCTCGTACAAACATGGAGGAACAACTATGCACTTTGAAGGAGGCGTCCGCCCTGCCGTCGTTGCATGCGGAAGAAGAGATGCGGTGCATCACTCTTGCAGAGGTGGAGTTGGAGTGCTTGTTGTGCAGCCCCAGGTACCTGCAACTGTGGCTGACAGTTCCATTATCGTATATTAGCAGTAACACAGCGGGTGGTTCACTAATACTGCCGTAGCTGCATGCTCATTTCCTTCCCTATTATTTATATATATATATCTCACGCATACACGCACAGACAGACATACAGACAGACGCAGACTTTTTCTCTCTGGGAAAGAGAGAGAGGGAGAGTGACGGAGCGTCCTCTAAGAGACAAGGAAAGATAATGTGGACATGTGCATGTGAGTGGGGAGTTTGCATTGGGGGAGGCTGGGATAGTTATTATTCATGCTTTTGTTTTGTTTGACATCGCACAGTTGATGCTATTAACTGCGTGCGATTATTTAAAAGAAGTTCTTGGGGCTGTTATTTACAACCATGAAACGGAGGCGGGAAGAACAAAAAAAAAACTCCTTCCATCGCGCTGTGCTTTTCTTTTGTCTGTTCACCGATGTGGGGACTCTTCAAGAATCATTTTTTTTTTTTTTGGAGGGGCGGGGACGCATAACAAGTGCGGCACGAGGAGTAAGAAGAGATTGGGGGGAGAACAAAACCAGGGGGCAGCACATGTCGCTGCAAACTTGCTTTGCCCGGCGCGGGAGCATCAGGAGCGGGTCGCTTTTTACCTGCTTCTTCGCGCGGTGCGTCGTCCAGCATGCGCGGCGTCTGCATGGGACGCAGCCCACACCGTGGCAGTCTGAGGATCGCGTGGCAAGCTGGTGCTGCAGGCTGTGGGGCCTCAAACAGAGCCGCGGCTGTGATTCCACGCCAACATCGTTGCCGCCCTCAACTCGTTCATCGATGCCGTCCCGTGCCGGCCCCACTCGGGGGCTGTTGGGTGAGGTGTTGAGTCAGACGGGGCTGGCGGAGGAGCTCAAGGCGGTGATGGTGGGGGAAAAGGGGCGGCTGCCAGACTCCGTTGTGGAGTCGGTGTGGGACGTGTATGACTCCATTATTCCCCCTGTCGTGGCCTCCGACATCGCCCGGCTTGTGACACCCACACAAGAAGAAAAGTTTTTCGAGTTTGTGGGTCTTTTAGCGGAACTTGATATCAACCTCGCGGGCCTTAAGGCTGAGACAGAGAAACTGACCCGGTGCATTGATGCCGTTGAGACGCTTCTGGCGGACGTGCAACAGGGCGAAGCGAAGGATGGGACCGGCGAAGGTGCTGGTGGTGCAGCGGTATCCGATGCGGCGGCGCTGTCGGAAAAATTAGTGACGGCAAAGAACGACTTGCTGCGGCAGTGCGTTGCGATACGAGACGCAGGGTCGCCGGTGCTTTACCTCTGGCTGAGGCAGAGTGCGTCGTTGGAACGTGGGATGCCGCGGCTAATGGACTTGCGGCGTTGCGTCACTTATTTCAAGGGCCGATGCCGTGAACGCCTCGCGGCTCTGCAGGCCCAGACGGAGTCAGGGGGTCCAAACCCTTCCCTGCCCGAAGTGATTACAGCGAGAGGGGAGCATATTGAGCTTTGGATCGTGCGGCAGCGTCATGTGTCTTGGATAGATGGGGCGTTGGAGTTTTTGTTCAGCGATTTCTTTGCGAAGGAGTGGCTGGTGATGGAGGAGTTGACGTGGCACTCCACCCCGCCGTCGTTGCTGGAGCAGGTGATTGCCGCAGAGACGGTGCATCCTTTTGTTAACGGCCTGGCCGACATGAAGAAGCGGCTGCAGCCGACCAACAATCGCCACCTGTTTGCCTTTTTTCATCCTGCGGTGGTGGAGGAGCCGTTGATCGCCGTGCAGGTGGCTCTGACGCACGGCATTGTTGGTTCCGTGGATCGTATTCTGGGACGACCGTCACCTCTTGACAGGCCGAAGCGGGGAACGGGAGGCGCATGCAGTGATGACATGCGTGATCATGGCACTAGCGGCGGTGAGGTGGACACGGCCATATTTTACAGCATCAACTCTGCCCAGTCCGCATTGCGGGGCATCAGTCTTGGAAATTTGCTAATTAAGCGTGTGGTGCGAGAGATTGAGGCGGGGCTCAATGCGAAGCGGTATGCTAAGAATTTGTCGCCCATCACAACCTTCTCCACACTCTCGCCTATTCCTGGCTACATGTCATGGCTGAGCACGGAGGTGGCCAAGCTGCAGCGGCACGTAATGCGGCGTCCTGACCGTTTTTCGGTGGGTTGCTTAAAGTTTGCCACGCATCGCATTTTTGGTGACGCAAACAGGGATGAGGCATCTTTGTTTTCACAGCTTTCTGCGGCAGTGCTAGACTTTGTCAGGCGTCATCCTGGCGCCCACGCTGAGCTTGCCGCACAGCTGCCTTTGTCGCCTTCAAGTGACGCGGCGGGGGAGGCAAACTTGCTCACCATGCAATTTCTGCTTCGCCTCTTCCGTACCCCTAACGTTGACACAAACGACCCTCATCATGAGGGTCAAATTGCGTGGTGGGAGGACGACGACTTTGCACGCGCCATTGAGGTGCCGTTGCTGCGATCTGTGGCTCACTACCTTTACAGGGAGGAGCGGAGAGGTCGTATTCTTGACCCTGTTGGAAACTTTCACATCTCCAACGGGGCAACAATGTGGCGGCTAAATTATTTGGGCAACTGTAGCGCCGCCGGCAGCGGCGAGAGTGCCACGGTGATGGTGAACTACCTCTACGATCCAGCACGGGTGGGTGAGCATGTGAAAGCGTATGAGGTGCACCGTACGGTGCCTGTTGGGGAGAAGGTTCTGCAACACCTTGGTGTAGCGTGAGTAAGAATGTCGTACGAAATCGAGGTTGTCTTTTCCGTGGGACGCGAATATATATATATAATATATATATATATATATCGGTGTGTGTGCGTGTAGAAGAAGGAAGGCAAAAAAAGGAGGTGAAAAGGCTTGAAAGCGTTCAGTGGGGCGCTGCGTGAGTGACTGAGTAGTTTATGTGCCTGTGTGTGGGCGTTGTTTTATCTTTTTTTTTTTTTTTTGCTCCCTGCGATGCATCTGCATCTGCGTCTGTAGTACATTCTGCCTCTACAAAAACAAATAAAAAGGGACGGGGAGCGCAATGTCAGAGTCTCAGGCCACACCCGCCTTAGCTGGGGCTGAGACTGAGGTTGCTGCTATCTCCAACTCTCTCCTTACAGGTTCGGCGCTGCCAGGAGCTTCCACCTCTGCCAATTTATCCTTGGGGGATCAATTGGGGGAGGCGGAGTTACAGAACGGCTCTTTTCTCTCCACCGTGGAGGTGGATAAGCAGGCAGCTAATTCGGCACCACCGCAGGCCGCGGCGTCGCCAGTGGGCGGATCCCTTCAGCTTGCGCATGTGATTTCGTGCACGGATGTGTCAAAGAAGCGGGTAGTCGCATCGCCGCTTTCTGTGCCGGATCCTGGGAAGCCGCCGAAGTTTAGAAATAAAGGCGTGCGTGGGCTGCGATCGACGACGCACGCGCAGGGCAGGCGCCGGGATCCGAGGACGTTGTCTGTCCTGGATTTGGCGGCAGTGGATCTCGAGCAGTTACGGACCTCCTTTATCGCCCATGCGCAGGCGTTTGGAAGAAGTGATTTCCTTGACCTGTACAAAGTGGCGGGTGACGTGGCGCGGGAGATGCATTACGCGGATCGTGAGGCAGAGCGGCTGCAGCGCAGAGGGCAGGCCTCCGTCCCGCCCAGACACAGTCGACGACAAAACGACGCGCCACCGTTCTGCACAAGTCCACAAAACAGTGGAGAGGAAGGCGCGGCGGGTGACTCCACAGCATCCGTCGCGGAGGATTCCATTGCAAACCTTTCCATGAGTGGATCCTGCATTTTTGCCAAGGGGCTTTCCTCGCAAAAGGCGCGGCTATTGTCTGTTTGGCTGTACGACCACCTCGTGGTGCAGGAACTCTTCGAATTCAAGAATATGTCGTTGGATAATCCACGGGACACGCATGATGGGGTCATGATGTTATCCCCGCGCTCGTTTCTGGAGAGTGGGACGAAGGCGATGATGGTTAAACTCCGCGGCCCACCAACACCTCAACAGCTGGCGGCGTTTGACATCTTTGACGGGCTTTCCCTTCGATTGCAGGACCATACTTCGAGTGCCGCGCTGGAAGCCGCAAACATGTCGATCGAAAGCCTGTCACTTCCGTTTCCGGTGTTTGTGTACGTTCTTAGCCGAGCAGTCTTTCGCATGTGTTACCTCGACTGCTTCCCGAAAGGGACATTTTCCTCCTCGTCCTCCTCGACCACCACTACTGCAGGCGCTGCTTCCACCACCGCAGTGGCGGACATTTCTTTTACGAGTGCTGCGGATATAGTGAGAAAAGAATGCTTTACGACTGTCAGCAAAGGTAGCCACAAACATGATTCTCTTCTGCAAGAGGTCGCCAATCTTTTGGAGGAATGCAGACATGTTGTTATACGCTTTTTTGAATTGTTGGACTCGGAGCAGCAGGGCGTCATCACCTGGTCTGCCTTCACCGATCTACTGATGGAGCGGGTGGAGGTCCAGCATCGCCTCATGATGGTCAAGGAGAGCTCAGAGCTTAATGTGCGGAGCGATGCCAGGGCGCTTGACGAACACGTCTTGGAGCCCTTCCCGTCTGTGATGCAGCGACTAGGGTACGTGAGGGCGGTGATCGAGGTTCGCTACAGTCGATCGGCTATTATTGTTGAGGGGCCACATGACTTTGCCGTCTGCGACAGCGCCTACAGCAGCCTTATTCAACACAAACTGCTTGTACGCTCGGCGTATACCCTCTTTGCACACCGTAAAGGTGCCCCGGATGAGTGGGGCGCGGAACGGTGGGAGGTGGCTGCGCAGTCCGCGACAAGCGCGCATCCAGAGCGCAAACATAGTCGAAAGATTGTGCGCTACGAGGATGGCCGCGGCCATCATAATGAGACCGCCTCAAAGGTGCTGAAAAAACGTCCGGCTTGCCGACGAGAAGGGTGGCGGCGCGGAAAGTGATAGCCAGGCTGCGGGGACCACGGACGATTGCATTGATCGGCACGCCAAGCCATCGATGCAGGCTGCCCTGCAGGTGCAAGACGTCTCCCCTGAGCTACCCACAACCTTTGTAACCCTTCACAGCGATCTCCTGCTGCGGTTTTTTAACATTGAACAGCACATCTGGGTGATACCTGAGACAATTACGGTTTCCTGCTCTGAGACCATCACATCGATGGAATGGTGCCCAGCCCCTCCTGAGGGGGAGCTGACGCTGCGGTGGTACCTTTTTCTTGGCACACGCTCGGGAATTGTTTTGAAGGTTCATCTCCGGGAAATCTTACAGAATATGCTTCTTGTCACTCGTGCCCGCGGCGATGTCATAACCACGGGCATAGCGGCTATGGAGACCATACGTCTGAAGCTGAAGCCGTATATATTACAGCGTCAGAAGCTTCATGAGGAATTTGTCACCTCGCTGTCGCTGACACCCGCAGGTGTGTTGCTTTCTGCGAGCCTAGATGGCACAGTAGTTCTTAGTCGTGTGAGCCAAATGACTGTGCTGCGCTCCTTCCGGGTTGGGAACGGCGCTGGGGTGCGGTTTGCCTGCATTACACCACTGCGAAATGTAATTGTGACACTGAGTGCCTCCAATTCTCTCGCTCTGTGGGGGAACACGCATCAGAGCTCACACGTTGAGCTCCACGATCCCATTTCGCCGCACTACTTTCCCATCATTTCGGTTACAGTGGATGATGTTATGGATCAGCTGATTACGGTGGACTCCAGCGGTTACACAAAGGTATGGAGCCTGCGCACAACCCTTGCCAAGATGTCCTTCCACGCGGTCTCTCACGAGGTGTTATCCACCGTTGGTCATATGTATTTTAGTGAGAATGGTGTGCAACACAATGGTCACCGCCTCTTCGACGTGGATGAGAAAGACAAGAAACGGCCACGGCTGCTTGACGTCGGCGGTCAGCATGGAGCGGCGGCAGGCGGCTTACAAACAGCTCTTGCCACTGTGGAAGCAGCCATGAAGGCAAAACTATTTGCCCCGGCGCGTTATGTTGCCTACGATGGCCTCTCAAGGCGGCTGTTCGTTTCAGGTGCTAAAAACAACGTTGTGTGTGTCTTCGTAAGCGGGTTAACATCACTAAAGGCGCACTTTAGCCAAATTTGCCATCTTGCGGTATGTGAGCAGCATCGTAGCCTCTTAAGCACGAGTGTTGCTGACTGCCGACTGTGGAGTTACAACACGGGCACCTTGTCCCTTGGCCTGAAAGCAAACAACCCTGAATTCATCATGGTACGCATGGCCCCCGTATTTAGTGCCCGCTCGAACATCACGACGAGTGCCCAACTTGTGGCCTTTGGTGCGGAACCCGATCGTCATACACTAGACTCATGCAAGAAGCCGCCGCCCACCTTGAGTGACGTTATAAGTGCCGTGTACGCCCGGGCAGGCGCACAGAGGCGAGAGCGTAGCGCGAATGGACCAGCGTCTGCTGCCAAAATGCGACGAAATGCAGCTCCGCCGATAAGGAACAGGAGTACAGCTGGTGGGGTGTCATCCAGTAGTATAAGCGGAGCCACCAACGCTGGTATGGCGGTGGCGGTGGCTGCTTCTGCCATAGCTACTGGCGGTGTGGGCGATGCATGGAGTGGGAAGAATGTTAGTGGTGGATATGCCGGGGATGACAATTTGGTGAAGAATCAAGCCACATCGTACCGAATCCTCTGCGCCCACGTTGACCCACAAGAGCGGTACATTTTCTACGCTCTCAACAACGGTGATATTCGCGTGCATCAAAGCGATTCTGGGCGTCTGTCAAAGACGCTTGTGACGACGCCTCCCTCCACGGAACTTATTTTAACGGCGGTGGTACAATACCGGCATCTGTTTACTGCTGCTAAGCGGCACTCAGAGCAAGCCCGCAGCACCCTCAGTGACGACGCAGAGCCCTCGTTTGGGTTGACAGGCTCACAAATGCTTGTACATGAAATTGCCTTTATCCTCCATCGTCTCTTGTACCATGATGATAAGCTTGCGTTGCACCAAGAGGAGCAGCTCTCCATTCACAAGGAGGCGGTGGGGATGATGACGATGCACGAGGTACACGAGTTGGGGGTGGTGTACGCCGATGGGGTGATTCGCTTCTTCCCATTGCTGGGGAATAGCGTTCAAGCACAACGCATTATCATTCCCGAGTTTCTTGTCTCTCGGGCAATATCGTACATGCGGTTGGTGCGAAGCCTGCAAAGGAAACTGGCCAACATTTCGCAGGAATTTCTGCAGTTAGGGGATGTGGCGGAGGCTGCAGAGCCGCAATTGAATTTTATTGTGGAAGCGGACGCCGTGAGTTTTGTTACCGTGAGCAGCACACTGGGGTTCATTTGCCTTGTCCAGGTGAACGGACGCATCTCCATCATGGATATGCAAACCCCGACGGGGGTCGTGGTGCAGGTGTTTACCGTGTCGGGTGAAGTCTCGGCGGTTGCTTTCCTTGGTGCCTACCCATGTCTGGTGGTGGCAGACACGCAGGGTGTCATCAGTTTTTTCCTCGTCAAGGGTGCTTCCATGTTAAATTTGCTTGAGGACTTTTACAAATCCCTTGTTTTGCATCGACGACACCAACGATCGCAGCAACCATATGGAGTGCACCACGATAATCAAAACGATGACAGCTACAACAGCAATAGCGGCTACGCGCTGCGTATGTGGTGGCTTCGTATCCCTGGCACACCCACGGTGCTCCACTTTGACCCTGTGCACGGTGCCCTGTACATTGGCACACGGCAGGGGTACTTCTCTTCTTACCTCGTGCGGAACCTCATTGTAGCGTTTGACCTTTACCCCATCATTCACCACAGCTGTGGCAAAAAATCACATGGACCACATGTAGTCTCTGCACATCGTTACCATGACTCTAATGAACAGCGTCTGTTTAACGTGCTGCTGGTTTTCTTTGGCATTACACCGGAGCGTGTGATGCGGCACATTAACGGCGAACGCTTCGCACGCTCGGCCCAATGGTATGGCGCCAGACCTGACACGGACAACCCAGCCATATCTGCGTCATGGCAGGGGACGGATTCTACACAGTCACTGCATGTGCATTGTGTTACACCACCCGTGGCACGCTCAGAAGAAACCATAAGCAGTGGCACAAGCTCTGCAGCGATAAGGTCGTGGAAGAATTCACTTTCGTGGATCTTTGAGGCCTGTAAGGCGCTGTTTTTCCCTTCAACATCCTTCCCATCGTTTCAGGGTGCTTTTGAGGCCGTAAACCTACCGTTTGACATTCATACTGTGACACTATCGGATTTACTGATTGGAACGGCGATCCTCCGTCATGCGCTGCTGCTGATGTCAATGATGGCGACTCATTTCACTGTGACGGGGTCACCTACAAGAGGTGTGAATAACAACACCCCTGCTGGTGATAATCCTGCGGCTGTTTCACTTACCCTAAGTGATATACAACATATTCGACAATGCATCGTGGAGGAAGTTCGTTACCGCAAAGTGATGGGAGTCACTGAACATGGGCAGACCGATGTTGCGGCGGCTGTAGGTTTGCCCGAAGACCCCTACTTGGAGGAGGAGTTTGACATTGGCACGGTACGCGATAATTCGTACGTTACTCCCACTGCCATCGCTTCCAACTGGGTTGAGCTTCTCTTTCGCCGGCATGTTGTGCATGCAGCAGCTGAGTCTCCACTGTCCCTGTTATCTCCAAAGGGCATCTTGGAGCGTGCTAGGTGTGAACGCTATGAGCGTTGCAAGTTACTGCAGCTGCAGTGCGACCTGGAGCAAGATGCACAAGATGAACTTGCTGAAGGATCATGGACGTTGGCCCCACCAGCTGGACAGAACACCGCAATTACTGTTGACTGGGATGCGTTTCTGGAGGGAAATTTGACGCACCTTCTCGAGGACGACTTTCGTCGTCGCCGCGGCATGACAAACATGAGCGAGGAGGAAATGTTAAACACCGTTAACGACGGGGGTGGAGTGCGGTGCATCACAACGCGACGGAATGGCGTGGTGTTTGTCGGTAGTGCGAATGGCTCCGTTGCCGTCTGGACCCCGTACGGCGCGGCGCGGCTGCAGGAGCTGTGCCCAAGCATGCTGTTGGAGGAGAGTCTTTATCATTTGGGCAGCAGGTTAAAGGCGCGGCTGGCGCAAGAAGTGGCTCGTGTCACACGGCGTCGCCAACGTGAGGCTTACACGGCCTCGCTGCACGGCGCCAAGGGGCATGATACCATGCTGCGGAACCTAAATGTGAAGTATAAGGCAGCCATGATGAAGCGGGAGAAGATGCGGGCGGTGGCTATGCGGAACAGCGTGACTGGATTTGGCATGTCGCTTCTGGATGCAGCCTCATCTCTGCGAAGCATCATGACAATGCCCCAAAACAAATGCGGCCATTCCTCTATCCACTCACTAGTCTCCCTGGCGACAATCGATGATAAAACACAATCCCTGCTAGAGAAGGAGAAGGAAGTTCTCTTGGCATTGGTGAATAGCACACCAACTGAGGCTGCGGAGAGGGGTCTTCTAATCGAGGACTTGTACTTTTTGCCCATGCACACATCCATGTTATCCGAGCTTGAGGAGTTTGATTTGGATGCGTATGGGCTTGCTGTGGATCTGGCTTTGGCACGTCTTCAACGCGAGGTCTGCGGTGACGCCCCCATGGAGGAGGTGCTGGGTGAAACGATGGGCGGCAGCAAATGTAGCGCCGCCATGAGGGCTCGTCCCAAGAAGCCAGGTGATGAGCCCAGCCTCAGCCTTGGATCGGTGCATGCCAGCAGCTTTCGCCGCAGCAGTGGTTGGATGGCAGGAGGGGAAGCGGGGGAAGAAACGGAGCAGGAAGAGTTACACACGTTTTTACACACGGCACACGAGAAGCTGGAGGCCGCATTTTGCACAGAGGAGCTGCTGCGCATGGGTTGGGGGCAAATGTCTTCTCCAGCCAGTCTCTCTGGACGAAATTCCAGGCGTCAAAAAAGGCAAATTGGCGCATCCCTGAAGTGTCAGGAGTGGCGACGCTCCGTATTTAACCAGTACACCGCGGAGTTTGCGCAGGCCAGTAACACGTCGTGGGCAATGCCACACGAGCAAAGACTCCCCAACTACGCGCGACCTGGAAGGTGGCTAGGACCCGGCGTTATCACGGTTGCCGTTTCCACCCGAGAGGCGCGGCGGCTTAAGGGCTGTTTTAGGCTGGAACTGGAGCGCATGGCGATGGCGTCCAGTTGGCACGGTGTGGATGAGGCCATACAGAACATGGTTATGCAATGCATGGGATTGCTGGCGAACGAGTCACTCACCGGGCTTTCACGTTCTCTCATGCGTCTGGTGTCGGGGCAGGTAAGAGGTGGTTTTGTCGTTGAAAACTCATCTTTTGCAGGGGGAGAGAAGCATGAGGCGCAGCAGGCGAAATTTACCACACAGCTTATGGAGCCCCTCGTGCTTTTGTCGGCGAACCAAGAGGTTGATGAAGATGCCAAAACCAATGTATATTCCCGGCAGCATTCGGGCGATTCACACTCGACTGCAGGGCACACCTTCACTTCAAACGGGATGGAGACAACAGGGAAGCTGGAAGAGCTGAGCACCGAGGCAAAGGACCGGTTTGCCCTTTTCCTCACCGAGATTCACGGGACAGCACCATCGACTGCAGCAGGAACCTCACTGGCGGCGACGGCGGCAAATACGCCGTCCATGAGCGTTGTAACCCGCAACAATTTTCGCTGCGTGCTTGGGAAGGGGCCAAACTCCGTTGCTTCATCACACACCGATGGTGATAATGGCTACAGCGCCGCGCCCGGAGTACTGACGCAGTGGCCCCTGCACAGGAAGGATCACTCGCACCGGGCCAAACTTTCTCGGACTGGTCGCGTGACGGCGGGCCACACAGGGTCCTCATCACCGTTTAGCCCCTTGAAGTTACTTCCTTCCGTTTGCCAAGATGGTGGCAGTCTGCCTGCTGCCGCATCCAAAAACAACGTTTCTTCAGGAACTCAGATGCCTATGCGAACCGACTCGCGGGATCCGTTTGTTCCCTTCCCCTCCCCCCCGGAGGGCGCCAGGCAATCAAAGTCATCTTTAACTCCACTGGGTGATAATAGGCCTTCTTCCAACAGCATTTCGCTGCCGTCGTTAAATTTCAACGAGATGCGAGCCCTGCCAAAGGGATTGCAGAGCGATGTGCCTCCGTTCTCAAAAGTGCGACTGCAACAGTCTGCGAGCCCCCACCACACCCGACATCGCTGATAAGGATGCTGATGTGCGAGCCAACAAACAAAAATGAGGGAGAGAGAAAGGATACAGAATAAATGGACGGATTTGTTCCTTTTTGGGCGCATTTGACTCTTTAACATGTCACGCATGCAAGCGAAGAGGTGGTGGTGAGAAGCGGGGAGCACCTTGGCATGCAATTTTGGCTTCCCGACCCTCGCAGATACATTGTCTCAGTTTATTGACATCCATCTAGTCGACCACCTTTGTTTTCAGCACCGGGTGTTTATTCAATGACGGTCGTCAACAACGACAAAAGCAAAAGAAAAAAAAACACACTCAGGCAAAAAGAAAAAAAACGAACAAAAACAACAACAAACAACAAACAACAACAAACGAACAAAAA